AGTAGTGCCATTTTCTTTTTTTGGTAAGCATGAGGGCCTAAGCCCGAAACAAAAGGAAAACTAAGAAAAACCCTCAAAGGAGATTACAAAACCAGAAATATCATGGTTCACTAGGGACTCTAAGAAAACAGGAATATCAAGCATGCTACTAGAGTAATGTTTGTTGCAAGCTTTCTTAGCTAAAGCATCTGCACAAAGATTTGATTCTCTAGGCGTATGTCTAATGATCACCGACTCATGGTGATTAATAAGATTGCTTATCTCCTTGATCAAAGTTAAGCACTCTACCTTGGATGTCGTCCCTTCCTCAATAGCTTTCACTACCCATAGAGATTCTACATTGATCTTTACCTCTTTCAAGCCTAACTCCTTTGCAATCATTAAACCTTCAGGAACACCCCAAAACTCTACTTTGCTAGCATTACAAATGCCCAAATATTTTGTGAAACCCCTAATCCACTACCCTTTCTCATCTCTAATAAGACCACCACACCCTACAGAGCGATCGGGTTTGCTAGCAACATCAATGTTTAATTTGACCATATTCGCTTGTGAAGGTTTCCAAACGTCTTCTTGCATTACTTTTCTTCTATCATTAATCTTCAGATTTTGTTTCATAGCATTGTCATACTCCGTATGCCATTTTCGAATTTGACTTATCATATTAGTAGGTCTAGTATATGTCGTGTCATGCATATATTTGTTACGCCAAGTCCAGAAAGCATGACAAGCAAGAGCCCATATGTTGCTCCATCCTTTCGATTTAGTTTCCATACTAATAATGTCCAGTCTCATCCAATCACAAAAGTTTGCTATGAAAAAATCCACCCTGAAGTTACTTGGAACCAGAATTTTCCAAACTTGAGAAATTCTGGAACAATCCTGCATCGCATGTGTTGTACCCCAAAATTTTCCCTCTCACTTATCAAGAATTTGCTCACAAGATTTCCTTTGGCTCAAGACTGCACTAGGGTTGATTAGCTCAAGACACCTCCTTAAGCACTGATGACCAAAATTAGAGTTTGAGTTTGCACAAGGATATTTGAACTTACAATGCCCCATATTACTTTCATGGATCATTATGTACCCTCAAGATTACTCATGTCAAGTTTCAAGCTTTGGATCACACTTTTGCTCAGTCAATTGAGCAGTTGACCTAAAAATCAGTTGCGTTGAGGAAAAAGTCAACCGTGGCCAATTTACAGTCAAACTTTATAATTTTTTATCCACACCAACATTTTAAACTCATATGTATCATTTGATCAAGTTTGGACCATAATTCCTCAAGAAATTTGATCAAATCTTCAAAAGGGCAAAATGGTCAAAATTAGAGTTTTGATTGGGAAAGGGCAATTTTTGATTTTTGACCTAGAAAATGATCAATTGGTTTAAGTCATGATCTCAAGAGCCCAACTGCATCATTTTGACCTAATGACATGGCTCAAAACATTGCTCAAGCCCAATGGATTGACAGATGAATTTTCAGTCAACTGATCAAAAGTCAACTGTATACCGAAAAGTCAAACTTTGACTTTTTGGTCAAAATCAAGTGTCAACGATCACAATTCATAAAAACATGTCAAAATATGAAACTTATTCATCAAGAAATCAAAAATTCAAGATTTCATTTTGAAAAGTTAAAATTTCTAAACTTAGAAAATTTTCAAAGTGTTGGAAATTTCTTATTTTTTCACAACTTTGAGCAAAATTTTCACCACGATGCATGATGATTCAAGAGAAACTTTCAAAATTAAAGTTTTAGATCTCCATGAAATCTACAATATTGCTTTACACAACTCCTTCCAAAAGTTCTTGGATCTCAAGTTATAATTTTAAGAACACATGGTCATGAAACAAAACACTTAGTGAAATTTTGCCCTATTTTGGTCAGGATTTTGACCTAACTTCATGGCACTTTTTCATATAGTTCCAAGGGGAATTTTCAAAAGTGAATCAAAGAGGGGTTGTAGAGAACATTACAAGATTTCCAAAATGTCCCAGAACTCCTTGAGGTCATTTTTGAGTAGGGAGAATCGAATAGATGAAGTTAGGGTTTTCACACTTGAATTACAAGTCATTTTGTGATGAACAAATTCAAAATTCAAACTTATGCTGCATAACCTCTACTTTGCAGGCCTCAAACTTGTTAGGAACTCTATAATTAATTTCTTGCGCAGCTGTTAGAGGTCTCAATTCAAGCATTCAATGCAAGGCCATGCTTTATATCCATTTTGGGAAGAAAGTGCACAATGCCATTTTGATAAAGTAGCTTTTTGCATAAAACTTGTTCTTGAGCCTTGCACTATCATACATGTCTTATAACTCAATAGAAACTTTTTTAGACACTTACAATCACCCAGCCCATGCTTGTACTACACATTGAAACTTATTTTCCCACTTTTCTTGAAAATCAAGTAACATAGCAAATAGCTTGTAACTTGTACTTCTGACTTTCCAAAGCACTCAAACCCTTTTGCTTATACATACACAAGTCATTTTCCACAAATCACACGCATGCTTAAGCCCTGAAAACACCAAGAACACAGAATCACCAAAAATACTTTAAAACTTTCCATTTCTGAGTTTTGAATTCAATCTCTAAATTTGCTCGTGTGTTTCTTGGCCTTTTACTTTCAAAAGCTTCTAAACAACATACAAAAACTATCCCAACACCTGCAACACCACTGTAACACCTCAATCATCAGCCACCATTTTCAAAAACAGCACCTTGCACCTTGACTTCTCCAGAACTCCTCAGGCATTTTCAGCTCAAGCTAAGCATCACATTAGCTTCTTGGGAACTTGAGGAAGCTAATCCAATCATTGAAACTCACTAAAAGCTACTCAAACTCCAAACACGACACCCTCTTGCAAGGTAAGTTTTCTGACTTTTGAACTCTTCATACAAGTATCATTAATGGTTTATTTATGAATAAAAAATGTAGATATCATTGCCCTAAAGCTAACCAAGTCCATAGTTTTCATTTATTTTGCTTGAGCTTAGAGAATTTTAAGATTGAATTTTTTGAAATTTTTAGGGTTCAGATTAGGACCATTAAAATTCATGCTTGTCTTTGATCTATAATTTTATTGTTTTGTATTTCTGAAATCGTGAGGAAATTTGCTACAAGTTTCCTGTTTACATTTTTCATTTTTGTTGAGAGATGAACAAGATATAGAGGCTCTGGTTGGGCGTGAGGTTGAATATGAAGTTAGTCTCAAGAACGTGTTTATCATATATATTTATGGTTTGATTTATATAAATAAATGTATAGCCACCCCAGTGGTAGAAGCGCGCGTCTGTGACTATAGGGACCTAGGTTCGAGCCCCAGTGGCACCCTTTTGGATTTTTTTTTTACATTTTTCACACATTCTGACTTTTTTGGACAGGCGCCTGGGCCTAACAATCTTGGGCTTTTATTTGTTTTTTTTACTTCTAACCCCCTTGTTAGCTATTTACACCCTGGCCCATTTTTCTTTTTCTTTTTCTTATTTTTCATTTATTTATTTTCTTAAATATTTTACCTAATACTAAAAAATCATAAAAAATATTAGATTTATATTTTGATTTAGTTTATTTATTTTTTACACAAAAAAATATTTTATTTAATCATGTTTTATTTATTTTACTAATTTGATTTATAAATTTAATTAAAAAAACTAGGGTTTTAGTTATTTTCTTTTACACCATTAAAATATATTATATTAAAACAAAAAAGACCAAAAATATTTTATAATACTATAAATTATTTTTAAGACAAAAATACCAAAAATATTTTTCTTACAAACTTGATTTCTCTTTAATCAATTAATATTTAGATTAGGGTTTTATTTAATTTCTTTTCCTAGTAAATTTAGGTTTACTTTTTATTATTTTAATTAATTATTTTCTTTTAGTTAATTAGTTTAAAACCAAAAATCCTTTTCTCTAAAAAATCAAAACAAAACATCCATTTACTTTACATTTACATTCTTGTATATTTATTCATTTTTGTACATTATTTATTTCAATTCTTGTACAAATTCAATATGGTTGTAATAGATAATTAGGCTTTATTTTCTTGCAATCCCCATTTATAATTTTACACTCCCCTCCCAAAGTATTGTAATAACGTAGAAATTTTAAATTCCGCAATTTATCGTTTTATATATAAATGCTAGTAATTAGGGTTTGTATGGAAAGACTAAAACCAATAAATTAGAAAATCCTAATCAAAGACAAAACCAAGCATGAAAAACAATACACTTGCACACAAGCACCCCTAGGGTAAATTCACTTGATTGCCTTACAAAATGGTCATATTACGCATGTGAGGTATCTTAGCAAAAAACAAGCAAAATATAAGATCATAGTCCCTCGATGACGCTATCTATGTGCCCTTTCAAATGATCTTAGTCCCTAAAAGAGAATGCTAAGATACCTTGCAACATTGTTAATCATGGTTATACGATGACCCACGCCCGTCCCGTTTACATCCAAAGATAGGGTTACTTACCAAATCAATGGTAAGATAACAATGTCAAAGGAACGAGGAAATGAACATGAAATACTTTTGAGTAGGTAGAATGCTCCTAATTGTTTGCTCCATTTCAAAAACAAAACATCCTTGCTATTTTCAAAACAAACACCTACACTTTTGAAACATCTTTCAAACTTGAAAACATTTTTAAAAGATCAACATCTTTGTATACATTCTTACGAACGAGAATCATTATAAAGTTTGCCTAAACAATGACCTCTTTACAAAATACTTTCAAAAACCACACAAAACACAATTTCAAACAAAAGCAAATGATCTAGCAAGTAACTAAGAGCCCATGGAAAACCATGGATGAAAAGGGTGTTAATACCTTCCCTTTTCATAATCTACCCCCCGAACTCAAGAAATAATCTCAAAGGTCTTTCATGTGGTTTTTCACCTTTCCTTTTGGATAAAAGAAAAGTCAGTGGCGACTCTTACTAACCGCAACATTTAAGATCAAACACAAAACACCCAAGTCAGTTCTCCCACCGTATCACAACATACGAATTATCTTCGTAAGTGTTTCCACATAAGCTACAACTTGCACTCCCCAAGCCTTTTGTACTTTTGCTTAAATTTGTTAGGATTTTGTCATGGTTAAGCAACCATATAAAACTCTTGTATCTCTCTGGAATGGCTAATCTCCAAATCTTATCCCAAGTATCATCAACTTGATCAAAATCAAAACCAACATGTTTATCAAAAATATCTCGTATCGAAAAACTCTCATCAGTTGTACCTGCAAAAATAAAAATGTCAGTATCCTCCCCCTGTCTTGGTGGCATGTATGCTCTCATATTATCAAGCCATACTTGAGGCAACCAACTTTGTAATATGATCCAATTTCCTTCTCCATTAGAATCTACCAGATCACACACTTTGGCTCCCATAAAGTTTGCAGGAATAATGACATCCCATCTATCGAGACACAAAATTTTCCTAACCAATCATCCGTCCAAACTTGAATGGTTTTACCATCTCCCACCACCCAACTACCAAACTCCATAAGTTCGGGTATGCTACTGATGATGTTTTTCCACAAATTCGAATCTCTATTCTTCGCCTAAGTTGGAGTAACTCCTTTCTTAATTCTATATTTCTTTCTCAAAACATCACACCACCAAGAATCTTTATTATTCAGAAATTGCCACCCTAATTTCATAAGGCACACATCATTCAGCACCTCAAGGTTTCGCAAGCCCACTCCTCCTATCTCCTTCGGTTGAGTTAGAACCTCCCACCTTACTTCATGTAATTTCCTTTTCTCATCTGTGTCACCCCAAATAAACTTTCTCTGCATAGCTTAAAGTCCTCTAAAGTTAATTTTGGAAGTTTATTTGTCATCATTGGGTACAAAGGGATTGCCTCTATAACACTTTTGGCAAGAGCGATTCTCCCCGCCATGGACAAGCTGTTACTCTTCCAACTAGTCAATTTAGAAGCTACCTGATCAATCACATAATGAAAATGATTTCTTTTCAATTTGTTTCCACTTAGAGGGACACCAAGATACTTGCCAAAGGACTCCGTAACTCTGTACCTAGAAATCTATGCTAGCTTGTTTTGCATACTTCGGCTAACATCAAAAGAGAAGAGAATAAACTCCCAGCTTAATTTATATAGGCTTTTGATAAATCCACCTTGACAGCAAAGCAACCTTTTTACCTTTCATCTTGTTCATGCTATGCATGGCTTCCTTTGCAATGATGAGGTTCTCATGAATTGTTCTTCCTGGGACAAATCCAGTCTGGTAAGGGGATTTTAGTTTATCCATGCTCCTCTTCATCCTGTTCACAATAGTTTTACTCACTATTTTGTAAATCGTGTTACACAGAGATATTGGCCTATATTGCATTACATTATTGGGATTATCAACCTTAGGAATGAGACATATATCAGTTTTGTTTACATCTCCAATTCCATCGGGGTTATCCCAAATTCCACGAACGAAGCTACACACCGTTTTACCCACCACTTCTCATGATCTCTGGTAAAAACCTGCCGAAAATCCGTCCGAACCCAGAGCTTTCCAAGGCTTCATATCAAAAACAGCTTTTTTTTATCTCCTCACTGGTAACCTCACTCTCCATCAATTGAATCTCTGTCAACTCCATCACAGGATATGTTATTTGCGTCTCATACCACTTGTTCCAAGTATTTCCCATAGTAAACAACTTTTTATAATAATCACTTACCATGATTTTTAAGTTCTCCTTTTCTTCAACTCACTTGCCTTCCTCATTCTTTAGCATCAGGATTTTGTTCTTCATTCTTCTTGTAACAACTTTGAGATGAAAATATCTTGTATTTCTATCTCCATTTTTCATCCATTTTGCCCTTGATCTTTGGTGCCACATCAATTCCTCCTTCTTTAAAATGCAACCCAACTCATTTTGAAGCTTCTGTTCAAGCACTTTCATGCCTCTCATGTTTTCATTTCGTTGCAGGCAAACTTGCACCCCATTCAACCTCGACAAAGTTTCTCTTTTAGTTTTCTGAACCTGAACCAACATACTATCCTTCCAGTTAAGAGAATCAACTTCTACATTTTTTAAGTTCAACATGATTTCGTCAGTCTTATTCCACAAGCTCTTAATTCTAGCGTTGTAACTATCATCAATCAACCAAGCGCTTTCAAATCTATAGTTTCTCTTTGCTTTAGGACCATTCTTTCTGTTAAGAGATATCATGATGGGGTGATGATCCGAGAAATCCACCCTCTCAACACCTTCACATAAGCTTCTTGGAACTCCAATCTCCAATCTTCATTGCTCATTGCTTTATCCAATCTTCAATCTCCAATCTTCACATAAGCTTCTTCTTCCGATACAGTCATCGTTTCCTCCATATTTTTCCTCCATCATTGCTTTCAATTTGTTTTGGGTTATCATTATGCTCATTCAGCCTTTTATCCTCTCCTATATCAGGAGGTCTCTTCCCATTAATTATATTTCCATCATCTTCATTTTTGTGATTATTTTGAACCACCTTTTATGCATGACTTTTTTCCGCATCTTTCTTTATGCTTCATATGTTTCCCTCTCCAAAGTAATCAGTTTTTTATATTTTTCATGCACAATTTTGATATTCCCTCCCTTAAATATGTCATTTGCATGGCTATTTTCATACAACCCTTCTATCTTTCTTCTGATTGGCCCAACAGTCTTTTCTTTGAAATTTCCTCCACCATGTGTTGCCAACCGATTATTTGCTATATTTTTCTTCCTTTTCGCTCTTTTCTCTTCAACACATGCCCCACTTAAAGTTGTTTTTTTCTTTTCTCCTTTACTCTCAATGTGTACCCCACTACCCCCAACATCATTATTGTCATGGGTCCAGTCTCCTCTTTTTTGCACCTTTGTTCCCCATTAACTCCACATTATTTCCTTCCAGCATCTCCATTATTACCTCATCATTTTTCTCCTGAATTGTCTGAGACACTTTCTTATTTGTTTTAATTTTGTCTGTCACCTTGGTACTATCATTAATATTATCCTCCATCTGATTTAGAATAATAACACATACATAATATTTTTCCTTATTAGTCTTAATATTTTCAATATGCTCATTACTGATAATATCAAAACGCGATCCAGTCTTTAACGCGCTATCATTAATATTCGCCGACTGATTATCTCGCCGGAGCTCTGACATCTTCCTGCCTCTATTCTGCTTTTGTACCACTTGCCATGGTCCTGCATCAATTTCTTTCTCGCCACGATGATCTATGACTCTCTTTTCAAAAAGTGGATTCATAGAGAAGCCTTGGTCATTTACTACATTTTTCCTTTAATCTTTATTATGCATCCCTCCTTGTAATGCCCGAATCTTTCACATACAATACAAAACAGATGTAATCCTTTATACTCAATTTTATACCTTCGCTTCTTAATGGAGAACATTGCCAATAAAGGTTTGGTTAAGTTTACTTCGACATATATCCTCGCATACCTTCCTCTTTCATGTTGCATAGTATTCTTATCCACCTTTATAGCTCTTCACACTCTATTCCCTATAAAATGCAGCACCTTTGGATCATAATATTCTATGGGGAGCCCTGCAACTCTGATCCAAACTGCGACATTTTCAATTGTATCACTCTCCAGATGGAAGTCCGGAGTCCATTCTTTAACTGTCAAATAGTGATCGTAGATAAACCACGACCCTTCCAATAGGGCAACATTCTTATCATCCTCATGAGTAAAGGCCACCAAAAAATAATTATTGCTAAGATCAATGATGTTTATGATGCATTTTATTACCCACATTTGCTTTAGTCTGGTTTTCAACGCCTTATAGCCAATTCTCCTACCAAAAAGTTTAACTATGACGCCTCTTCTCCAAGGCCTGTGAATTCTTTTCTCTTCCCATTTGGTCAGCACAAACTGTGGGCACTCATACCCTCCTATCATATTTTCCACAACTTTCATTCCTTCAAGAGTGATCTCCTCCCCCTCTTTAGTTGCTTCAAAATGATAATCTTCTCCCTCTTGTTCCAACACCCCCTTGTCTCATGTGACTATATATTTGTATGACATACTAGAACTTTCCTTCTGCCCTCCTTGTGTACTTGATTCTGTGTGTTGATGTTTTTTCCCTGCGCTTTCAAAACACCTTTAGTAAGGTCTACTATAAATCCTTGTTGCCCTCTAACAATGGTCTCAGTTTCATGTTCATATCCTAGCACATCATAAAGCAACGGTGCAGTAGCATACTTTGGTGAGTTTCCACTACCTTCTTTGATTCTCTTATTTGTTAGCGGTATTCTAGAGGTGGTATGTGAAAAATTATAGTGTTGCAGGATTCTGCAGAGAAAACTACTTTTCGTCACTTTTTGTACTATACTTCTACTGGTGGGTGACCATTGAAAAACTCTTCTTTTTTTTAATTCACCAAACACTTCTTTCTTTTAATCTTAGCATTACAAAGCCTTTATATAGGCTTGAATGAAATTGATAGAGAATACAAATAGGTTGCTAATCAAGATGAGGACTCTTTGGTTCTTTCAATTTTAATGATACAACTCTACCATAAATCTAAATAAAGACAATCATTATAATGTGATGGTTATAATTCTCTCATAATGCTTCCTAAAGATAGTGGTGGTTACAACACATTAATTTTAACACTCCCCCTTAATGTGTTGCTCTTTAACTCCCATTACTTCTCTAAGTTGCTGAAATCTTCCTCTTGGTAGTGCTTTAGTAAAAATGTCTGCAAGTTTCTCTTGTGAATTGCAGAACACTAACTGCACATCACCATCTTCGATCACACTCCGAATGAAGTGGTGCTTTATATTAATATGTCTTGTTCGACTGTGGAAAACTAGATTCTTCGCCATGACTATTGTTGATTTATTGTCACAGTGAAGCAGCTGACTTTCTTCTTGCTTTTCTCTGATATCTTCAAGTATTCTTCTCAACCACAATGATTGTTGTGTAGCCAAACCAGCTGCCAAATATTCTGCTTCAGCTGAAGATTGCGCTACAGTATCTTGTTTTTTCGAACACCAAGAAATTACTCCTGAACTCAGGCTGAACACATAACCGGAAGTGCTTTTCATGTCATCAACACTTCCAGCCCAATCACTGTCACAGTAGCCTTTAACTTTGATTTTAAAATTCTTTTCAAACCTGATTCCATGTTCCATGGTTCCCATGACATACCTTAGAACTCTTTTTGCTGCTCCAAGGTGTAAGTGACTCGGTTTACTCATAAACCTTGAGAGTAAACTAGCAGCAAACATTAAATCGGGCCTTGAAGCTGTAAGATAAAACAAGCTTCCAACCAAACTTATATACATACTTGCATCTACTAATCTTCCACCATCTTCCTTCTTTAATTTTTCATTCACCAATAAAGGAATATCAACAGGTTTGCAGCCATTCAGGCCAAACTTGTTCAAAATATTTTCAGCATATCTCTTTTGACAAATAAAAACTCCATATTCATCTTGGTAAACCTCAATACCAAGAAAATGATGCAGCAAGCCAAGATCACTCATCTCATATTTTTTCATCATTTCTATTTTAAAATTTTCACCCATTTTCTTGTTGTTACCCGTATACACCAAATCATCAATATAAAGGGCAACAAGAAGGATATCATCTTTACCTCGATGCTTCACATACAAGGTATTATCACTTTGACTTCTTTCAAATCCTTGTTGAATGAAGTAGCTGTCAATTTCACTATACCATGCTCTCGGGGCTTGTTTCAACCCATAGAGAGCTTTCTTCAACTTGTAAACTTTTTCCTCTTGGCCTTTAGTCACAAAGCCTTGAAGTTGCTGCACATATACCTCTTCTTTTAATTCTCCATTCAGGAAAGCTGACTTCACATCAAGTTGGTACATGTTCCACCCTTTCTGAGCTGCTAATGCAATAACTGTTCGTACAGTATCCAATCTTGCAACTGGGGCAAAAGTTTCATTATAGTCAATTCCAGGCTGTTGTGCATAGCCTTTTACTACCAATCTAGCCTTGGCTCTTTGAATTGACCCATCTGGATTATGCTTCAATTTGTACACCCACTTTACTCCAATAACTTCTTTGTCATTTGGCTTTTCAACTAACTACCATGTTTTATTTTTCTCAATGGCATTTATTTCTTCTTGCATCGCATTCCTCCAAGCATCTTCTTTGATTGCTTCATCAAAATTTTCTGGTTCCACAACACAATAGTTGCATCTTGCATAAATATCACTCAAGTCCTTCAATTTTATTGGAGTTGAGTTGGGAGATGATGAACTTGAAATTTGTGAACTTGGAGAGGATGAGGAACTTGGTGTACATGGAGTTGGTTGCTCATTATCAGCTGTTGGGTTTTGTTGTTGTAATATGATTGCAGGGACTGTTTTCTCCTTCGTTTTGTCTTCTTCCAAATTCCAAGAAGCGTTCTCATCAAATACAACATCCCGACTAATGATCACCTTGTTTGTCTTCAAGTTGTAAAGTCTATAGCCCTTTGACATGGAACTATAGCCAATAAAGACACATCTTTCACTTGTTTCTTCTAGCTTTGTCCTCTTTTGTTTAGGAATTTGAGCATAGCAAACACACCCAAAAATTTTAAGATGGTTCACCGACGGTGTTCTTCCACTCCATGCTTCAAATGGAGTCTTTTTCCACACGGCCTTTGTTGGATACCTGTTCATTAAATACACAACAGTGTTAACAGCCTCGGGCCAAAAGGTTTTAGGAAAACCTTTCTCAAGTAGCATAGACTTCGCCATCTCCATCACGGTTTGGTTCTTTCTTTCAGATACACCATTTTGCTGAGGTGTATATCTAACAGTGAGTTGTCTTTCAACACCTTCATCTTCACAAAATTTATGAAATTCATTTGAGGTGTACTCCTTCCCTCGATCACTTCTCAGCATCTTTATAAATCAGCCACTTTGTTTTTCGATTAATGCTTTAAATTTCTTAAAGATTAGAAACGCTTCAGATTTTTGTCTCATGAAATATACCCAAGTCATGCGGGTAAAGTCGTCAATAAACAAGATAAAGTACCTATTTTTTCCATGAGACAAAGTATTCATAGGGCCACACACATCTGTGTGTACAAGTTCCAACACTTGTTTAGATCTCCATGCACCTTCCTTTGGAAATGGTCGCCGGTGGTGTTTGCCAAGCACACAACCTTCGCACACACCAGATTTTTCTTCGATTCTTAGCAGCCCATACAC